TATGACTCTATTATAGTCAGGGGCTGTAATAAAACAACAAACAATAACATATTCTGTTACACTATACATTACATTACATAATAGCAGACGGGGATGTATGTAAATAATATATTTTGTTTTTAGTTTAAAGGTGCGTGGATACAATGCACATGTATGTAATTTTGTTGTAAAAAAGGATATATGAGAAGAATTTCTCCCCAGTAAGTGCTTTATCTCTTTGCATTCAAATATATCACAGTTACATACTTTATAGCTTGCGCCCGCAGCTTCACCCGCGTTATACGTATGTTGATAAAAAGCATATGTGTTAATCTAGCTAGAGTATCGCCTATATCTACATACCAACGTTCAACCAAATTGGTCCAACCGTTTTGTGTGAAAGGATAACAATATATTCTCACAAAATTTCACATTCATAACATTAGTAATATAGTATTTCTATTTAAGAAAAACAATCGACATCAACCAGCGCAATAATGTACCACACCATTGTCCCGCCCTGGAGTAGTCCAAGAAACTTGAAAAGTCATTTGATTAAAATAATCACCTTTCATAAAAAAAAATACTAAGTAGTCATATCTAAATCTATACTATCTACTCGTATACTAATATTATAAATGCGAAAGTAACTCTGTCTTTTCTTCACGCCTAAACTACTGAAATGATTTCCGTGAAATTCGGTACAGACATAGTTTGGAACTCAAGACAAGACTTAGGATATTTTTATACCAAAAATCTGCAGGAAGTCACTATTCTACGCGAACGAAGTCACGGGCAAAAGTTAATAAAAATAAAACTTCCACTCGACGAACGATTTTCGTTTTAAAAATAACAAATCGTAAATAAACGTATTACAATCAATCGTTCTTTCAGAATTTCGAGAAAATATAAATAATGTACTTGGCAATTCATTATTCTTCCGATTTGCAAGACAAGCTTATTTTTGCACGGGTTCAACGACATGGGCATATCTCGAGTTGTCAACAAATACAATATGTGCGCACATAGATGAAGCTTTGTGAAGAAAAAAGTCGCAAGTTCCTCTGTTTGATGTGAACACGGCAATGTTGATGATTTGTTTTTTAGCTAAGCACCCAAAAAGGGATATTCGCCTTACCTGCACTGGAACTAGAAACGAATGACTGTTAATGTACAACTAATACAATAAATAGAAAAGGCATAAGAAAATATTTGTTATGAAAGTGTTAGAGAGCCGTGCTTCGGCACGATTGGGTCGGCTCCGGACCGCACCGGAATGATACAACGGCCTCACAGAAAACCGTCGTGAAACAACCATAGCGTTGTGTTTCGCCGTGTGAGTGAGGTTACTGGAGGCCCAATCTTTCCACTTCCCGAAACCCCAAACCCTAAATCTCCAAATCCCTAATCCCCAAAAGGGCGTCAATGGGCGTCGCTGATCAGATAATGCGTCTAATTGTTTGCCGTCCTATTACAAAAAAAAAATCAATAGATAAAAACTGAAAAATGAAATCCACAGATCTGATGATGATCATCTCAAATCAGAGTGTGTACACTCTAATCATGGTAGGAACAAAGTGCGTTGTCATTACATCACATTGATTCATATGACAAGCATGCAATGCATCATACATCGACCTTGGATCCATTCCTCACGCAGCCGACCTCTTACGTAGAACACACCTGCCCGACCATTAGTACCTGGCTGAAAATAGAAAACTTTTCATTAACGGACAGGAAAAAATGTTCTCAGATTTCATGTTGCAAGGAACAAATTGAGGTATATTTTATTTACCTGTATTAATAACTTATAATATTATTAGGTATATAGGGTTGGAATTAATCCAAAAATCAATCCAACACTACCATTGCATTGCAAAAAGATGACAAGGCTATTTTTTACTTTGTTTTGTCTTTCTTGTACAGAGTATCATGTTTTCTTTGGAAGTTATATGCGCACTTTCGAAGTCACAGATATACCTACTTACCTAAAAATGTTGTTTTAATAAACTTTCGATAGTACCTATCTATGATAGAAATAATGCGGCGATAAGGACCGAGACTCAATGCTTTATTTGTTAATTGTTTTATTGAATCGGTGGATAAAAATAAAAACAAACGCAAAACTGCACTGTAAGAAAAATCTATAATTAAAAAAGTCCAATAAGTTCTTTCACATAAATCAAAACATATTATTTTTACTGCCATTTGTTAAAAACTTTTTCTTAAAAAGAAAGTCAATAGACTCGTTCTTTCTAGTTTGTACGTAGCACAAATAGACACTAGTATAATGTTTGTCCATGACTTCGCTTATATTTAAATGTCTCGTCCAAGGCGAAGTTCGGGCACATGGAAACAATTACAATAAACTACAAAATAAACTGAGATATTAGTCTGAACTAAATTCGCCTCACCGCCGACTCAATGTCTTAGCTAGAAGAGTGTTTGTCCTACTTATCCTAATATATAATATAGGGTATATATTATAAATGTAAAGTTTGTTATTCTTTAACGCAAAAACGGCTGGACCGATTTGGTTGAAATTTGGTATGTAGATAGGTGATACCCTCGATAACATATAGGGATTTTTATCAACATACTGCTGCTAGTCAACAATATACCTATCTTTAAATATATGCATCATATAGATACTAAAAGTAACGCGTTGATCACAATCACAACAGTATATCTTAGTCGAAAATGAGACTACTAATCGAGGAGGCACAGTTTCGAATTGGGATCAAACAAAATATTACAAAGTATTATTTTCTAAAGATATCATCGTAGGAACTTATAATTGCATGGAGTCTTGTCCGTGGCGGGTCACTAGTATAAATAGGTATAATTGATTATGAAAAATGTTAATTATTATGTTTTCGGCTTACTCACGTCATAATTTGACGAGATAGTCGACTAGTTTCAAGCCATGCTAGAGGCCCATATTCATGAGCACAATTCCGCGATACGCGACTCGGCAACTGTCGCGCTGCTATAGTGAGTAAGCCGAAAATGTGTCTCAAATGAATGTCTCACGAAAGTTATAAAAAAAAACGATAAATGTTAGTAGACAATTTGCTTATGTTTATTTCTCAAAGTCAAGATAAACAATGAAGAAGTAAACGATTTCTTGTTCTTAACCATGATTTACCGTTTTTTTTTTTTGGTGTCGGGTTGGAAAATCATCCCCCTCGGGGAAAGGCGAAAGGTACTGTCAGACTCTTACTGACTAAAAACCAACCCGGTGTTCCTCCAATTACCCATGTGTCGGTAGGGCGAGTATCGCCGAAGCATTAATCAAGGTTTACCGTCAACTTACCAAATTCTTACTACTCAACTCTGAACCAAACAATTTCACCTAGTAACATCTGCAAACTTTAATACTTTATGAATACTTAACATTCATAACCAGATATGATATGAGCAAGAACACTTATTTTATATTAAAGTGCGATACTAAAAGTCAATGTTAATACGACAATCATAAATGTATAGAATACAAAAATCTCCGTAGAGAGCACCTAAGTACAATGTCTCGTATATTTTTATTTAGTTAACGGCAATGGTTAATATTTCCTTAAAAATAACATGATTTTTCACAAAGGAAAGCAAAAGGGTTTCACAACACACCCACGGTTTCCTGTTCATGGTATTCCTCTTGTTTATTCCGACAATTTTGACGTCATTATAAGGATCTGGACTAAAGTACTCTTTTAGGTGATAGGACGAAACGACCTGGCGGTTTACCTGATGGTAAGCAATCAGCGTCACCCATCGACACTTATAACAACGGAGGAGTTACGAGTGTGTTGCTAATATTATGGGGATTTAGGTAGGTAAACCTCCCCCATTGAGTGGATGCCTATCAGTGAGATTGTAAAAACATTATTTTTTAAAAGAGTGTCGATGGAGTTTCTATCGGTTCCTCTTTGATGACTGATATAGAGTGACAGATAATTAAATCCTAACTTTTCAAAAGATCCTATACAAGGATTACCTAAATGTAATGTAATAAATGTTTTTTATTCAAATCTAAACTTTATGTTGATGAAAATATGATTCAGTTAATAAAACTCGAACCCTTTTACTTTTCGAACATACTAAGTATTCTCATTCCTGGGTACCAGCCTTAGAACACACGAAGAAGTTTGTTAAATTACCTCATGAAGCCAAATAACCAGAGGAAGTTATACTAAAAAAAACCTAAACAAAAACATAAAATACAGTATAATAATACTCGCTTTTACTAAGTTTTCCTAATGTTCTATGGTTAATTAACGACAAAATTGACTTTGAAAAAGTTTTTAACAACAATTCCTAAAAAAAGTACGTAACATTTTTTTTATTTAAACACACTGTGTACTCGTATAAATATATTTATTATATCTGAGGTAATTTGGCTGATTTCCACAAGATCAAAAAGCATAATAACCTTCACTAATGTTTAATTAGGTACATGAAAGTCAGTTTGTACTGAGAATGTCACGAAAATCCGATGACAACAAAACTATGCACGCTATATACATACTTATTATCGTATGCATAATATGTCTTTGAAAAAATATTATAGTATGAAACTTTGATTATGTTATAAATATACTTTAATCCTAGTAGTCTTAGAATTTTAAGGTTAGTTAGTAATACCTACGTTTTTTGAATTAAATATAAACACACTTCCTACCTATGTTTTTATTACACTAAGACTCACAGCACGACTATTTTAGTATGTATATCAACGATAAAAAGTAATTTTCAATATTTATTAAAACATTTCGAATTAGAGATTTTGAATTCATATTTTATGATGAAAAAATAAACAGAACAACCTAATTAACAATAGTCTTGAATGTCTAGATATATTAGGAAAGTTCAATAGCCTAAATAAGTAATAAATACTTTGGAAACATTCATAAAGATTGAATAGACATGGAGAACAGAGGTTCTGGAAATTATAATTTATTCACAACTTTAATATAAGGCCGACTAAAAATAGTTGATGTAAACTAGATAAAATTCCCGCTTACAGTGAAGGAAAGCGGTTTCATTCGACGGTTGGAAGCCGCGGCTATCAGTGATCCCAAACTTTCTGACAGTAAACTGTGAAGTTTAAGTTCAAGGACTTGTGATTGTTGTCACAGGTAAGACTGTGACCATTTTAATGGAACAAAACAGTGTTAATATTAAATATGTGATACGCTAATGATGCCCATTAAATTCAACAACGTAAATTAATTACGCCAACAAGACATTCAACATATACCAATTGACATTTCAATTGAAATCTTTTTGTCTACTAATTGTCTATTTATATTGATAGCACATGTGCAAACTAATTCACGTTTGCATCCAATTAATATACCGGCACATAAATCACTCATGCCAAAGCATGAATCATCGATACCTTACAATTGGTAGAGACTTATACACGTCAATACGATCATCAAACAACATAACCGTGCTTGCTGAAACATTGCAGGTGAGGGCGTCCATTTCCCAGACTCGTGCGCAGGCAGTGGGCGGGCGCCGACCGCGGACTCAGTTAGAGACAGGCATCGACGCCGCTCGCACGAATCTGAACGCCGCACAAGGTATAAACACTAAAAAAACCAGCGCTTCTCACTGCTTCATATAACATTTGCACTAATAAAAGCTTACGAATGTCTGTGTATTTTTTTCGACACTAATCACCTGGTGACCTCGACATCCATGACTAACTTCATGAACAAGGTGTTCAGTTACAAAAATAATTCGCCGTGACTTCATGCGACTGAAATAACGCGTTCATGCGATCACGGTAATATTTTGGCTGGTCACGGGGATATTTGTTCCTCACTTCGCGGGTATAAGTAGGGACTTTTATGTTTCGTAATTAAATGTTTATCAAACAATCGTAAACAATACCAGATATACGCAATTTGATGGCATCCTAACATTCAATTCTAATATTTGTGACTCGAATTAGAACGGATCTTATTTTGGTACATCAGACAGTCTGAATTATACGAGTGGATTATTTTCAGCCTTGATGACGGTATTGTTAACCTCGTCCAAGCTATAAACATCTCTATTGACCTTAAAACTAGCTGAATATTTTTAATGTTTACTATATCCGAAGGAAGGACGACATTAAAGTTTCCAGTAAATTAAATTATTATTATGTACAATGTCAGATAAACGTCAATGATGACAGTAACTAATTGAAATTTTCTTGAAACTAGAATTTAAACTCGATAAAAATAAACAATCGGTATTTTAATTGATAATCTAATAATTGACATTGTTAAAGATAACCTATAAGTGTTCTCAGTTGAACAACATCTCCAGTTATCTTGAATTATAATTCCGAAAATAAGTGCGCAAATATTTATTACGCATGCGGGCAAGGAGTCCAAAACGAAAATAGACTATACCTCTCGCCGTTCACATTAAATATCGCATCTTTGAGCAGCATGGAGATAACAAACTATTTTTCCAACACCTACACACATTCTCATACAAATTTACATGAGCGAGAGCTACATTGTTTCAAATGCATTCATTTTTCATAGTTTCAATAAACGTATCAAAGTAATAATACATATTTTTTCTTAGAACTCTCTTTGGGTTGTCGGGAAGTAGTTTTATGAGAGTAGCGACACAAACCTTGCACTTTTAAAAGCACAATAAAAATGCTACTTATTCTAGTTTACTCTCTGGACATAAAACAGTGCATAAAATGTCAACTGTGTGTTGCAGCAGTTTATAAGTTCATAGCTAAATGAAGCCTCTACAAAAATTATCATTATTTTCCATTTTCAAATTGATTGCTATATTAAAGGCATAAAGTTTAGATTATCCACGTCGAAAGTTAATAAAGTCATGTGGTAATCCTTTACTATACAACTTATTACTTCGGGTATTACGAGTATTAATTTGTTATGACATCAAAATCAACACAGTCGTCGCTCTGTTAATGCTGAGATTACCGACATAAGATTTGCATGTCAAACGCATCAATACTCTGATTGTAAACGGATGTGCAGATGGAGTGAATTCTCAGCATGCATCAGTAATAAATGGCCCGATATATCTTTGATCTACGCTTAAGCCAATCGCGTTTGCATTTCAACGTGAACTGTGTTGCTTATGTTTTTGTGTTTAAAATAATATCGAAAATAAATAATATCAACACGTATTGCTATAATTATATGAAAGACATTAACACATTCAGTGCCCCCGACGCGTATGTGCGTTTCCTCGCATGCACATACGCGTCGGGGGCACTGAATGTGTTAAAGAAAAATGTCTTATCGGAAGTGGAGTTATGTTATTACAACATATCGTGTAATATAGGTATTCTGATTACTTTAAACTAGCTCCTAATAATAACTTACTCTTAAATAGAAATGAAGTGTCTGTTCAACAGTTACGCGTACGTACGTCATATAAGATTAATGAAGTAATCAATATCATTACGACAATCTTAATTCTCAGAGAGTATGCAAATAACAGGAATGTTCTTCTAACAACACCAATGCTTAGGTGTAACATCTAAAAAGTTGTTTACTTATTATTATTATTTTTTACTCAATATTTGACGAACTTGTCGGTGGACTATTAGTTTACCTTTGGGTGATGCTCGAACAGAAAAACAATAATTTTGCGAAAAGCAACCTTGGTGTAATGTACAATGCGAATGTTTAGCGCAGACATGATGTGGTGGATACCATCGTCACGAAAATGAACCGATACCAAAATAAAAAAATAACAAGTTATTCTTACTCGTCTAAAAATATACTTTTGCATGAATATAAACTTCAACTACATGCCTGCTAATTACTCACAAGTTTCCGGCAGTTCGTGGTAGTGTACACAACGTAAGTTGGTATCAAAACTTTGTTTTGTTTCCATTTATGAATGTATCGGTTGTATCAAATTAGAACCATTTGGGATATGAACAACGAATATCGGGCTAACAGTGTGATATTCAAACAAAGTGACAGTTTAATAAGATCAAGTCTTTATAATATTCTAGAAATATAAGTTATGTGGACCTAAGTACATAATTGCAGGTGTTAGGCAGGTCTAAATTGAAACAACAAAAATACTTTTTTGTAACCTTTACCAAGAAATAGTCGGTTGTTTCCAGCCACGCCGAAGCTAATTTGGAGGGAAAACGATAATTATTGTCATAATAAAATCAATTATCAAGCGTTTGAAAGAAAATTGAACTAAGGAAATTGTTTAAAAATATAATGTTGTTCTCCATGATGCGGTAACGTAAAATAAGCTAATTCTAGAGCAGAATGTGACGGTGTTGTGAGAAGTCGCTTTCCGTGTCCATTTCGCAATTACAACGCGACGCTTGTACACAAATAAATCCAGTGACGAACGATTCTTTAGTCGACGATATATTATCTGTTTTGCCACATTATTCACCGCTAATCACACATTAATTAGCTGATAAATAGCTTAACAAACCCAACATTGTTGTCCAAACTATAAAAATAACATTACAAATATGAGAAGATATAGTGCTATGTAGATTCTCATGGGCGACTACTTCGTATAAATCAAAGATTGAGACACGAAAATCTGTAGTGAAGACGTATCGAAAACTTATTCGCACAAAGCTGGCTGTCTGCAGCACATTCTTCGGAAAAAATATGATAGCCGTCGTTGGCGGTGGCGGGGCTAATAAAAACGCAATAACACGAGGTGCTCCGACGCCAACCCCGAGGCGTGAATCTTCCGAGAGTGTAATAAAATTATCTCATGAGAAGGATAAAATTTGTCATCCTAATTTTTTTGATATGCGTCCTGGGGTAAATAGTCGTTTATTCTGGCCCAACATGCTTCTACAGTTACAAGGGCGATGTTTTGTCTCATAAACTTGTGTTATAAAGGCCCTTTAAGTAAACACTAAATAGATTAAGTAAGCACGCTCTCGATTAATAAAGTTGTTCTCTGGAAATTATGATTTGGATTTTCTCTCCGTCTTCTTAGATTACATTGCTTTCAAAACTAATGTCTTAATTAATAATTAAGTGCTCCAAGATCATTTATAATTTAGTTAAATTAAATTATCTGTTTATTAGCTACATCTGTATCTTTTCAAGGGTCATAAACCATAGATGTTTGTGAATGTCTGCATGCATCGTAAATTTTACTATGCTTTTAAAACCGCAGCTAAGAGATGAAACTGATTCAAAATGCGGAAGGATCGACGAGTGTTTTGTTTTTATCAATTCTTATATATATTTAAGTTTAATGTATGTATTTATTATTTGAGTTTTTAGAAAAGAAATTTTAGAAAATAAGACACTAGAAAACGTCTTACTCTTAATGCAATTCAGAAAAAAAACCGTACACATATGTACGGTTTTTTTATACATATTTAAAATTCCTACATTAAAGTGCAATCCGACAAATATATAAGAAATTTTGCAATCCTGATCTACGTCTATTAACTTTCCCTACATTATGCAGAAGGTATCTTATTGCACCTACAATTCAACGTTACCTTGTAGGTTGCTCACATCCAACTTAATTCATCAAACTCCAAGCAAACCGGTGTTCGTGCACCTGTTCAACGTTCTTCGATTGTGTTTCGAATTACCACGACTTAAAGGTTAACAGGCTTTTAGTATTGTGCAAAAAAATCATCATCATCAGCCTATAAGTGCCCGCTGCTGAGCAAAGGTATCTTTTCATACGGAGAAGGTTAGAGCATTAATCATCACGCTTGCTCAATGCGTGTTGGCGATTTCAAACTTATAAGTCCAGGTTTCCTCACGATGTTTACCTTCACCGTATGTCAGTGGTGTCTAAATAATCATAGAAACGACATATAACTCGCAAAAAGCCACATCGGTACTTGTCAGGTTTCGAACCTACACCTTAACCTCCGGGCCACCACGACATACGACGGCAAAAAATTCAATTCATAAATAAATATTAATCAATATTTTCTAACATTCCAGCGCTAAACGAACGACTTAAAGATGGCCACCGGCCCGAAGATAGTGCACAAGCAGTTTAACTCGCCCATCGGGCTCTACTCCCAGCAGAACATCAAGGAGACGCTCACCAAGCACATGCAGAACCTTGGCAATGGCACCGTCGGGTCAGTACCTACATAACCAACCTCCTTACTCATAAATTCTTTAGATAATATGCCATTGAAGACAATTGGACACAGTATTGTACTTTTTCTTAGAGATTTTCAAATTTTGGAGCCACAGTTAATATACTTGTTTCAAAGGTATATTATTGTTTGGCAGTTTAAAGCAGAAGCTAATATTAACACCTACAGTTTCTTCGGAATTGTAAGATAATAGCTACACAAATATTAGCTCTAAACTCGATTCGAATATTCAACACAATCTGTAAACCGCAGCGCCAACCGCACAGTAAAAACTTCTACTACTAGCAATAAATATAAAATTATTATACATCACTAAAAACTCAATTCAACGAACGAATTGAATTATTAACTTAAAGTGATTGAAGTTAACGACAAACTAATTCAAGAAACATAATTGCATTGTCTCCTACGCTTTCACCAAGCTTTTAAATCGTTTTAATATAATAGGCTAGGTATTAACTTGATAAATATAAATTACATATACTAGATATTGAGATAACGCTACTACTAATCCAATTAGGATCTTCGTTATCGTGGCCTTTTTTATCTATATTACTCTTTTATTGACTTTTAGCGTTTGTTCCACCACCTTGACATAAGAAATAAACTTATGTGACAGAATGTTTATACGAATTATGTTCTTAATCCAAATTTATCCGGTACATAATGGGGCATTGTATATATTCAGACATAGTAAAATGGGCCCAAAGCCTACACCTAAACTACACGAAAAGTCTATGTCAGAGCAGTGTAACACTAATGTTTAGTGTACATAATAATGATGTAATAAAGAAATGAATTGTAAAACTGATTGCAAAAGAGTTTCTTGCTCGTTCTTCTCCATAAGAATTTACACTTTGAAACGAGCAACTTCTTAACGAACGAGCATGTTCACTAGAGGACAGACGGACAGACTGACATGCATAAAACCTTTTGAGAAAATAATTTTTTTTCTCGAAATTCTAAGTGACTAAATAAATGATTTGACTTTGACTGTAAAAAAAGAAGAATGAGAAATTATTATTTTTATCACAGTATATTTTTCAATCAATAGTTTTATATTTATGAAAATATTTGATATGATACAAAATATTTATATATTAACTAAAAAGTAGCTGGAACATATATGTTCTAAAGTACCATCGCATCTTTTTTGTTTCGCATGTATGTCAATACTTGTCTGAAGAAAACGATATTAATTATAATTGATTACTCGCATCATAATAAGTCTGCGTATAAGTCTATTGAGGACTTTTGTTACGTTATATTGAAGAAACAGATAAGTAGCTACACAGAATCCTACTGAATATTAATACCTATGTACTTATGTAGGTAAGTAGATATTTCACAAACACTGTTTTTTTTTCTAAAAAACCCTAAGACAATATTTGACATTAATGGAAAAGCGATTTTATTGTTAAAGAAATAAAATAAAATATTACTTCACAATTTTTCCTCGTGTAAAATATTAACGCCCATTCTAAAATGTTTGTAAAACAGGTCGATGATTTCGCAAAATAAAATAATATTAAAAGTATTTCCTAGCGCGACTTGAGTGATTCTCACGAAATATTCTTTAGGTTGAACAGGTAGTGCTTTATCTCCAATTTACAGTGATCGGTGGACAGCTGAATACTTACCCACATCCATCACTTGATACAATCTCATCTGTCTCCCTAATAAAGAAGAAATATCTATTTTAATATTTAGTATGTAATGGTATAGACTGTTCGCTGAGTCCATTTTGACCATAATGCCATACGAATGTAAAACCAGAAATAATCCTCGAACAACAGAACGAGGACATGACATCTCCACGCTCTCATAATGGGTGCTTCCAAAAATAATTTTCCGAGGTCACATTAATATGAATAAAAAAAAAGGAGTGTATATAATTAAGGTCCTCTGTCACATATTTTGTAAAGATTCCGGTAATAAATAAAACGAGGATATATTGTGATCACCTGTGCACTTGAGAAATAAGGGTTTTGCTGTTGTAAATAATACACATTAGCAGTCCTACTGTGATGAAATGATTCCAATAAGAAAGGTCGTTTTGGCGTATCTTCTGTCACCTTACAGATTGCTGAATAACAAAGTGTCGATGACTTAAACGCTTGTTTTTATGTAGAATGTCACTGTGTATTTTGGGAACATTGTTATTTACGTGAAATATGTATATTGTTATTGAAAACAAGGAGACATTTTGATTTGGCAAGTTAAGTTATATTTAAAATACCTCGAAAAGAAAAATACGGTGTCGATTCCTGGAGAGAATATCAACTTCAAAATATTCAGTCATAGGTCGGTTTATGATCAATGCATGACAAAGGCCGAACCTTCGTTTAACATTAGGCAACTTAAATAATAAAAAATAAAAAAGGCGTATATTAGTAGGTGTGCTTTTAATATAATAAATTAAAAAACCAAACAAATTTACTTTGTGAAAAACACAAGAAAGGATTTATATATTAAAGTCGTTTCATCGTCTTTTGACCGTTTGCCAGACTGATGACGTCTTATTGATACAATTGTCGAGTAATTAGTCAATGAATTATAACAATAGAACTTGTTTGTTTATTTTAGAACTGGGTACACTTTTTATAGAATTTACTCATTGAACATTTCTTCATAAATTTCAAAAGTAATTTTGGACTTATTCAAAAATAATCTTAATTGCTCGTGGAATAGTTGCTAAATTCGTATCGCACAAACTCTGAACAGAAATACTTAACATCATAGCGTCAAATCGGAATGTAGACTGACTGCACGGCGTTAAAAATAACAGTAGAGAGCTATAAATAAATCGCGACACAAACGTGTAGGAAACAAAACAAAATGATAGACGTGCCAATAAGCGGTCGATGAGTCACCGTCAACCCTCAACGAATCAATACGAGGAATACGAGCATTCCACACGAGCATCCAATTAATTAGAACACCATGGGCCTTATTACAAAACAAAGCTTTTCTATAATCTAGGTCTAAACTATCGAACAAGTTTTTGTATTTATAAATGCATAGTGTGACTATAGCAACCGCTATTATCTAGAAAAAGCCCTAGCTCTGAAAAGCGGTCTGTGACCGGTGCTGATAATGATAAACTTTACAACCAGGTTGCAGAACCAACAAGTAAATAAATACAGTAACAGTTTCCTTATCTGTTATTAAAAATAGGATTACAAAAGGTCATAAACCATTTTCGACACCAAAACAAAGAAGGGAGAAAGGAGCCCAAACCGTGTACGGGCCTTTTTATATTGTGTGTCCACCGAGTTACTAAACCTACCGATCATACAATTATGATATCACAGTGAAATTGTTGAGCTTATGGACGTTAGCTAATAAGATCGCTTACTGACATCAGTACATTAATGCAATGTGATTTCAGCCGATTTGAATCTATTATATGAAATATTTATAATACATCAGCGAAGGTGGACTAAAACTATCCATTGTACTTAGGTTTACCAATAACAGCTACTAATGATTTAAGGAACTCTAAAGATTGTAATACATATAATAAAAATAAGAATAAAAAATAGGTATCATTAAATAAAAAAATATTAAATATTCAAGCAGTTTCAATTCAGATTCAAACCTCACAATACAGAACAAACATTTAAACTTAATTTTTCAATAAATAGTCACCTAAACAATTGAATTATATTCCATCATTTTACATCAAATCGATTCCATAAATCAGAGCTCAGAGAATCAGAGATCTAGGCATCAAATATAAAAACTACAATCACAAGATAAAAAAAGTATCAATCTTATCAACATCAGAAGTGTTTTCTCTGAAGATATTTCCGTTAGTAACATGTAATATGATATGATAACTAATATAGAAGAAGCTGTAGGAGCACATTACCGCAAAGATTAAGTTACACCTGATACGCACACCTCAAAAGCTTCCTCTAATGCCTACTCAATTATTTAAACCTGATAGAAATAATATTCAGAATATACTTGGTACCTTTTTAATTCTCCGTAAGAGTATTTTAAACAAAATTAAACAAAATAAATTTGATACAATTAGAACTATATCACTGTCTCTTCTCGTCTGCCTTTGTTTAACATTATAATATTGAGGTTTTAATAAGTAAGTCGTTTAATAAACTGAAACTTTTTAGTGGCCTTATACTTATTAAATTTATTTTTTTTCGGTCTTTTAGAGCTGAGATAAAGTATTTACATTGTTTGTTCTGTTGTATTTATTTCTATGGTATTAACAATGATGTACAGTTTGTAGAAACAGTTAGCATGCCTCAGTCGTGTCTTTTATAACGGGCGCCAGGCCAAACTGAAAGTGCAATTCAAAAACAAACAAAATGTTTATATAGAGATGACGCCACTGTCTTAAGGTGAAGAAAGTACCCACAGGACGTTGTTTAAAGAAATTGAAATTCTCAGAAATATGTATCCAATGATTTAATTTAATTATAGGGATGTTTTGAACGTTGTTGTAATTGTAATAAGATTTCGAATTACACTAGAGCTTTTACGCATTTTACCTACGTTGTAGATTTTGTTTTTCGTCCAAATTACGAGTTTTATGAAATTCTTATCAGCTGTTAATTTAAAAGGTCGATTTCAGGGAATATCCGTAAAAGGGAACGAATAATTTTTAACACTTATCGTGTGTTGTTATCTAGGAAATGGATTTTCATGAATATTTTAAAATTATTGATAGATTTCCTTTAGATTTTTGGACAAAATAGGTAAATTTTCATTTTGTTGTTGTTTACTTCTATCATGTTCTTTGTTATCTGGGTCACCTAAATCTTGAAGGTCATCGCCCTGAGCAGAGCTGTTCAAATTACTGTCCCTTCTCACTTTCCACCTAAACGATTTTAATGCAACCATAACATTGTTAACTCTCTCGATTCTCGACAAATCTTATCAAAATCTGCGGCGGCGCGGCGGATCAAACAATAACTTATACTAATTGGATTATAAACTTTATTACTCACTGC